ATATTCACAAATAGCATAACTATATAGATATTCATTGTTTACTGTTGTTGATATTCACTGTCAACTACTGTATATATTCACTGGTAACAATTTCAGATTTTCACTGTTAACTTTTATAAATATTCTTTGTAAGCTAGAGTAGGTATTCACTTTTAACAACTGTACATATTCAATACAAGTTAATGCATTTATTCACTGGTACCAATTGTAGATATTCCCTTGTTCTGTTTACCAAGTTCATTGCTGGTGAAATATTCACAATCTCAGATCATCTCTTATATGATTTTCTATTTTGTAGATTTTCTCTTTTATCGATGTCAATTTTTGAACTTGTCTCTGTTATGGATAGTCATTGTTGCATGAGTTCACTGCTGAGGATGTTGAATGTAGAATATTCACTGCTGTTATATTTAACTTTGAAGATGTTGTACATGTTAAATGCTGAAGATGTTCACGATTCGAGTTGTTGAAGATTTTCAATGTTGTTGATGGTCAATGTTCAGTTGATCATTGTTAGTGATTGTCAATGCTACACCACATGTTCATGGTCAGTATGGTCAATGTTTTGATCTTCATTGTCGGTGATGGTCGATGTTGCACATGTTCATTGTTTTTGATGGTCAATGATACACATGTTCATTGTTGGTGATGATCAATATTGTAAGTGTTCACTGTTGGTAATGGTCATTGTCGTATATGCTCATAATAGGTGATGGTCAATATTGTAAATTTTCAATGTTAGCGTTTGTCAATATTGCAAATGTTCATTGTTTGTGATGGTCAATGTCGCAGAACTTCATTGTTGGTGATGGTTAATGTTGCAAATGTTCATTGTTGGCTATGGTCAATGTTGCTGTCGTAGCTTTGCATTATATATTCCTGCGCTAATTTGCACGTAATTGGCGCTTTCTTATACATTGACGTCATCAGTGACATCATTATTGTCATTATTATTATTATTATTATAATTATTATCATTGTTGTTGTTGTAGTTGTTGTTTGACATATTCAACTTGTAGTTAACTTAGAAAATAAGACAACTTTGAAGTACTCCATCAACTAATGTACGATATTGGTGCCGTAACTCACACAAAGATGAACCTACATAACTGAAGAATATATTAGCTTAAACTCGAGAGTAAGTTACGGAAACTATCATCAAATGAACTCACAGACGGACTACGAGTGAAATAATTAGGAATTATGCAGGAATTAGTCAAATAAGAGCAGACGATAGGAGCAGGAAAACTCTATTGTTGGAGCAGACGGTGGAGGGACCGTAAGCTGTTTTAACGTTCAACTTCGAGGGGGAAATGTTGACATTGCACGTTCACAGGACAGTCTAGGTAACCATCATTCATTTATGTCGTCTAGTTCAAAGTATCATAGGTTCCTAAATATTCATAACCGAAATTTAATGGTGTATTTTAAGCCGGCAGACAATTTTTGGACTCATTTGAGTCAACTATTAATATCAATTGTATCTTGACGGATTTGAAAAGAGTTTCATATTTCAATAGTCAGCTTGATGTTGAAGCGAATCGGACTATTGGTGGTTTTGCAATACAAATATAAACTATTAACGTGCGAACAAACTGATGAAAGAGAGATATGGCAACAACATAAACTAATACATCCAACAATACAAGCATTGTTTCAACTCCAAGCCCCTAAAAATATTTTACATTATATTCGTAAATCCTATGATTTATGGAGAATACACATTCGTGCACTGCAGTGTTTGGACCAGCAAAAAAGTCTCTCGGCGATTTACTCATGCCAATTGTACTTGACAAACTTCCGAGAAAAATGAGAAAAATCTCGAAAAAGAGCAAGATGACAGGAATTGGTTGCTATTAGACTTACGTAGAGCTATTCACAACGAAATTGATTTATAAAAGCCGAATCATTCACTTCGATTCGAATGGAAGTGGAAAGTAACGGATCTATTGCATATCATTTTATGAAGAGTCACAAAGAAGATTCATCACACAAACTCTAGCAGACGAGCAGCTGCAATTACAGAGGGAAAACCCGAAACAATCGGGATATCTGCCTTTGGGGGCAGAAGTAATCAAATGCAACATTTTGACAAAGTTACAGCTTGTTCCAGATTGAAGGAGACAGAAAATACCATTACAAGTACTGAATGTCCTGACTATAGCGGCACATATGAATATAACACATTCAATTTTGTTATACCTTAAAGGATTACAATTTGCACATCCAGTGACACATGACAAAGAGTTCGCTATTTCCTTGCTAATTGGAGCCGATTTTTCTGGGATATTGGTGTAGATTAGACTATACATGGCACAGGGTCAACTGTAATCAAGTCATAAAAATGGATATATTCTGTCTTGACTGATAAATGCGTGTAACATTATCAGAGGAACAATCGATATATCGTATCTGGTGTATAGAAAATCTTGAATTTACACCAAATGATACAGACCGGAAGTAACAAGACAAAGTAACAGTCTGAGCTCACGTCAACTGACTTCAAAGATGGAAGCTATATTGAACGGCCGTTACCATTGAAAAATTATCACCTGGAACTACATACAAATTATGATATTGTCCTTAAACGCACCAAGGTACGGTCTGAAGATTATGGAAAGAGCCCAATATGCTGATGAAATTGAGATATCATTGGAGAACAAGAGAGACGAGGTTTCATTGAAATGCTTCAAGAGAAAAAAGACATTCTACATCTACTATTTAAAAAAAAATCCTCAATGGTCAAACTTAGCGAACGACTTGAACACTGTTGCCACAATCAAATTCCCGAGAAAATATTCATCTGAAACACCCAAAACTGGAAGTTACAGTCGAACAACCTTGCACATCGTCGTAGACGCAAGCACTATGAATTCCATGCAAAACACCCGATATTCCCCCTTGCCGTAATTTTAAAGTAGAAGAAGCCCCGCCTTACCGGAGTATATTATATGTTAAACAAAAAACATTGGAGCAGAGAATCCATATGTTACTTTACCTGTGCTGTTACCAGAGCCGTTTATTTTGAAGTAGTCACATGTTTGTCAGCAGACTGTTTCCTACATACTGTAAGAGATTTTTAAGTCGGACGTCGCAATCGAGGCTCATAGTTTTAGAAGGAGTTTAAGCTTTCCAGACAGCATCTACTTATTTGAAAACTATATAAGAGTCTTATATTGTCAGAGAGTCCTTAGCATATATCGGCATTGACTGGAAATTCATACCTGAAAGAGACCCATGGTACGGAGGTTGGTGAAAGCTTGCAACTCTCAAGAAAATCTTTTGACGTTCTATGGTAGATTTAGAGACATTACAAACCATTGTAACCGAAATAAAGTTCTTCTTCAACGATCCACCACTGACGTTCGTTCCATCAAGTTTCGCAGAACCTGAGACATTGACCAAAAAACACCTGTGATATGGTCGCAAAATGAGGTCCTTACCTGGCCTTGGAGCCGAAACTGAGCTCAAAATTCTATCATCTGTAGAACGCAACATTAAAACGGGTTAGGAACAAATTCCGGATTATTGAACAGTTTTTGACGCGTTGGAGAACGTAGTATCTCACAACACTCCGTAAGAGACATAATAAACCCGGAAATAACTCACAAACTGTCTTTACCGGGGAAGTAGTGTAGGTCCATGAAGATTCGGAAGCGGGCGGTAGTCGATAACCTTATTACCTGGAGCGATGGCTTGGTTCGAGCAAGTAGAAATCTTTTTAGAAAAAAACTGTACGCTGCCAGACCGATTTTAAAACGTTATCTACTGGAAGAAATAGACAATAGAGACTTTGATTGGCAAAATGTTTCGAAAGAAAAACATCAATTGTGAAAAAAAATGATACAGATTTAGAAAAATTCAGTGAAAATGTTCAAGACAACACTTTCAACATTGTACTACTTTATCAAATAATAAAGAACAGTTGCAAATGTTCAGAGCTGGTGATAGTGAATGTTGTAAATGTTCATTGTTGGTGATGGTCAATGTTGCATTAGTTTATTGTTGCTGATGGCAAATGTTCTACATGTTCATTATTGGTGATGTCAAGCGACAATCTTGCAAATGTTTATTGTTGCTGATGGTAAATGTTCTACATGTTCATTGTTGGTGATTGTCAATGTTGCAAATGTTTATTGTTGCTGATGGCAAATGTTCTACATGTTCATCGTTGGTGATGGTCAATGTTGCAAATGTTTATTGTTGCTGATGGCAAATTTTCTACATGTTCATTGTTGGTGATTGTCAAGCGACGATGTTGCAAATGTTTATTGTTGCTGATGGCAATGTTCCACATGTTCATTGTTGGTGATGGTCAATGTTGCAAATTTTCATTATTAGTGTTTGTCAATGTTGCAAATGTTGTTAATGGTGGTTTATGTTGCAGATATTCATTGTTGATGATGGTCAATGTTGCAAGTGGTTAATGGTATAAGTGTTCACTGTCGAAGGTGTTCACAATTGTAGGTTTTTTATATACATGTTTACTGTAATGTATATGTTTACTTTCGATGATGTTCACTATTAGAAATGTAAATTGCTGAATAAGTTAACTGTCGCAGATATTAACTGTTTGCGATGTTAGTAAATAAGATGCTTTCCTAATTGATAAACATGTCTTTTGATTTTCTCATTGGAATAAACATTTAAACCAATCGTCTAGAATAACATCACTAGTATATACGCATTTAATATATTTTATAGTAGCTGGGGTTTAACTTCAAATCAATTGCTATGAAATTGTCGTTATGTCGAAACGCACTTGGTATTTTATTGCTTAATTAAGAATGCATGCTTGTATTTATTTAACTTTGGCTAATATAGTACATCGTATATGTGTGTGTGTTTTTTTTTTTTTAATATGGAGACTGTTAAGCAAATTTCGCAGATGCATGAACAATGAAGATTCAAATAATAATATGTATCTTATTACTATCCGGGACTTTAGAACTTCGTACTAATGTCTAATTATATCGTTTATATATGTCTAATTTATATACTTTTGCATAATACATTTATCCGGGATGGATCTTATATGTATACTGAAAGCGTGGGATGGATGGTTAGTTTAAAAGATCAGTGCGAGCGGCAGCGTTCAAACATTCTGGTAAAAGCATTACAAGAGGAACTATGATCGTTACGCTGTTTGCAGTCTTGGTAATAAAAACATATGATTATTACTTTTCATTTTATTTCATTTTATTTACGTTATCATTATCATTCAATGGTATTACGCTTTAGGTAGATTAAAGTTAATACGTTTATACTATTCAATGTGTATTAATGCTATTATTTTGTTTGCAGAAAGCCATACGGATGTTATTTTTATTTTTGAAAATTGTTTTGAAAAGAAGAATATTTGTACGTAATAACTGTGTTCTTTAATAATCGTCATTTGACATGTTAAAGGGATTGTGTATAACGTTCGTGGACTTGCTCTAACAACATAAATCATTGATGATTTATTTTGCTTATTAATTGCGATTAAGAAGTGATTTATCTTATGTGCACACATTTTGAAATTACTAATTTGTTATTTGTCACAAATAATTGAAATAAAACCACTTCTTAGGTCTACGTTGTGTATTACTAGAAGTTTAAAGAAAGTAAAAAGGATATATTAGGTTATATTAAAGGTTATATTTATATTTACATGTAAATTAGTAGTCTGATTATACTCATCAAGGTGTATTGATTCTCTTGTCAGAGAATTCGTATAAACATCTTTAATCAAAATTTTGAAAAATGTTCCAACGGTCATTGCAGGAATTTAAGATTAAATAAATTATAACATAACATGAAATTATCTTATAACCCTGGCGGGACTCGAACATGTTGCCTGGTGAAGGGCAAGTGTCTGTAAGTCAACGAGATTAAGCAATCATTCACGGACGCCACTATAATTATATAATATTGATGCATTTTGCAAAAACACTCTCTCTAGCTATCATCATAAGAAGATGAAAATAGAGCGATTGCACAATGTTTGAAATTCTACAAGTAAAATAATTATATCAACTGTTAGAGCTTTATAAATTTTAAACACGATTTAAATCTATCTATCCGTATTTTAGTGACTATATATTGGTGATCTGTTTTCAGGGTCTATTTTCCTCGTTTGCGAGCTGTGACATTACCATAGAAGACGTAGATGCCCGCAGAATCAAAAGCAGTAAGTATTTTGTTAAGTCATAAGCCCAAGAGCTTTCACACTTGTTGCCTGTGAAATGATTGCCAACTAATAAAACTGAATACTGCAAGTCATAATGAAACCAATATTGATTTTCCATAGCGTCTTCTTTACCTCAACTCTGCTATATTCTAAAATTGACTTGTTCATCTTCCAATTTGGAACTGTCTATTATCATCTTTAAGAATATGAAAATGAAAATTTAATTTTGACCTGCCAACATTATTGAGCTTGGCCAGACTGACTCAGCCCTATATTGATCGCAAAAGGTAGTCACTTACGTTTCAAGTAGTGTAAGGGTTCTACATGTAGGAATGTAATTGACCAGGTTTGAATTTAAAGCGAATTCCATCAAAAGTTCCACTGGTAAGATAACCTACACTTATTGCTACATTTAAAGGTTTTTGCGCTGCATTTCGATTTAGATTAAGCATGACTCGTATGCAGAAATTTAAAATGAGCAACAACAATGTTCTGGGACTCATAAGCATGTGTTGACAAAATAAGTAGTATGCCGGAACCTGGCATATTCGAAAAAAAGCCTGAAATGACAACTTTAAACTTATCAATTTATTAACTTCATAACTGTGATTACCATATAAATCGCGGTTATCGAATAAATTATCTATGAGGTAAACTTATCGATCACATTAAAGCCATTTTATTGATGTTTTTGAGTTTTTGAGTGGATTACATACATATGAATCAATGAAAAAATTGATAATTTCGCAGGTCTGTTTGTAGGAAGTCAAGACGGAGTTTCAATTGCAAAACTATCCGCAGACGCAGACGTGGGTTTTGTTAATATACAATAACGGCTTTTGAAAAACGATGTAGGACAATCCTTGCGCTACTAAAATGCAATAAATAACCTGATGAAAAGAAAAGTAATACGATGTCACATTAAAAGGCAATAAAGTAACCTACCGATACGCCAAAACGCACGGGCGTATGAAAAGAAAGCAAAACAAAAAGAAACCATTAATTTTGGCGTAGATCATCAATATATTCGTAGCTGCTAATTGATTCTACAGATATGCTTAGGATGTTTCTTTATTCGAATAAGTTAGTTATATTCATTCAACTTATATTCATTTCAAGTTATGTAGAATAGTTTTGACACTGTGAATCAGATCTTTGCTGTGAACTATTGGCAACATCCATCGTCTCAAACCAAATTCAACTTTTGTTTATTTGACCGTAAAAACGATAGCAGTTTTTACAAAATATATCACTACACTATTAATTTATTCTGTATTATACGTAGTCTCATCTATATATATTTAAAACATAGACAAATATACAATGAGAACAATGTATAACCAATTAAGACACATAATGTATAAATTCTTTTATTTTCGCCGACTTTAGACAAAGTGGCGAGTCTGTTTATACCAACATGCTTTATGTGCGTGAGGCATTTAACTTCGTAATAAAATAACTTAAATAATTCGAATGGAAATTGAAAGACTGGAGTTGAGAAAAGAAATGTTTAAGACAATATTTATTGTCTACAACATTGACATAATACGCATTAAAAATTATTTTAAGGAAGCTAAATAATCGTGCGATACTACATTTTAACTGCGAATACGATAACCTTTCGTGACACTAAACATTTAAGCTGTTGTGTTTGTATTAAAGTCATTCAGATCATTTTAAGGCATATTTTCCTTGATTGTATCTCACATTAAGTTATGGTGAAACTAAATAAAACTAACAAAGAAAAAAAATAAACTTGTTACAAAGGGAAATAAAACCCATCTTTTTTACAAGAGAGACACCTGGCTATGTTTTGTAATTCTTAAAGCAAATAACTTTTGAACTATTTAAAACAGTGTACAAGTTAGACTTCGTGCTACTTCTCTTACATTCAATATATGTACTTGATGTTATTTTCATAACTATAGATAAAGACAACAGTGGTACAATTAGCTTAAGTATCCCTTAAATCATTAGTTATAGCACATAGCTATATTTGATATATAAGTATCTTGCGATCCTTCTGCCAAACACCGGCACTCGGCGTATACTCATAATAAGCCGAGGTACGCCCCTAAAGTTATAAATGACAAACAAAAAATTTGCTTTTATCAAATTACTTTATATAAAATGATATGGAATAGACTATAGTGCATTCTAAAATTGATAACTGATAATATTTCGACTTTTTTGGTTTTACGACCATGGCAATTACGTATTAATAAAGCAGTTGAATCATTGTCAGATATACCTTACACTCTAGATAACTAATTCAAATTTTAATGTTGTAAATTTATCTAATCGCTGAAAAAAAATCAAAAACATTAGTCTCTTGTGGAATTATCATAAGTGTTTAAACCTAAGTTACATGGAAACGGAAGTGACTAGCCTTTGCCAATCCCTACATCCACGTGGTCTGATCAGGTTTTTTATAGCTGGCAGAATTTTCATCTTGATATCCCAAAAATTAAAAAATGGAAAATTCTTAAATGGAAGCTGGACATTATATACACACCGGTTTCTCAGTTTAGTTAGTAACACACACATATAATGTTTAAGGGGGTAAAATTGAAAAGTGAAACCGATTATATGATCACTCAGATATGCGGTTTCAAGATACACAAAATTTCTTTTTCAAGGAAATTCTTTTTTGTTGTTGTTTTTTTCCCGTAAAATCTAATGAAATATCAAAAACAGTTATGACCTATAGTAAATTCTAAATCGTTTATTGTGACGCAAAACGTCACGTGGTTTAGGCGCCGTATACATGTGATAGAGCAAAACTATATAGCAAATATTAGATATTACTGTTTGTGAAACACTGATGTTGATACTTACGATAAAGTTGTAGCATTCAATCATGAATACATTTTATTCTTTTCAGGACTTATTGCGTTTGAGGCTCACTTGAGAGATAAACAAGCATTTTTCCCCTTCAACACGCCACTGATTTTTCCCGTATGTACATTGAACGAGGGCAAAGGCTATAATGTGCACACTGGTGTATTCACAGCACCTGTAGCTGGTCTCTATACGTTTAATGCGCATGTCTGTAACAAACTAGGTGATCATATGGTGTTTGCCATTGTGAAGGGAAGCGATCAATTAGCAGTTTCGACTACCGGCTCTGGATGTGGTTCTGCCAACACCATCGTTAGGCTTAAGAGGGGAGATGTTGTTAGGGTAGTGGCAAAATGGACCAACAGCCACTTATGGGCAAATCTTAACCGTTGGAATACTTTTACTGGCTACCTTGTATACCCTTAGTTTAAGCTTTAATTAATTGTTTAAAGAAGTGCTATGTGACTTTAATGCATATACACATTCCATTTAAAACCAGTTTGTAATCAGTAAATCAAAACAATTTAATAAACTTATTAGAATAAACGCTTGGAGTGATAAATTACAAAGAAACATTTAAGACCTATATTCATTACATGGATATTTTATAGAATTAATGAACAAAAGAAATGTATATAGTTGTATATTCATTAAAGATTTAGAAAATTTATAGATCGAAAACTTTTACATTTTAAATCCATAATTACGTATGCAATAAGTACACAAAAATACAGTTATATTCGACTTTATAAAAAAACCTACACTTTAAATGTTTCGACATAATTCGCATGCAAGGAAAGAAACTATCACAGCAAAAGAATAAAATTAATCAATAACTTATAAGTGATAAACGATAAAAAATTACACGATTGAATGTGTTAATTTGATATTCCTTTTTTACTATTTCCAGTTTTTTGAAAGTGTCTTTTTTACTATTGTACTTATATAATTACTCAGAATCTTAATAAACAGATTTCGTTACAATTAATGTTTTTTTTATATATTTTTGTGCATAAATCACTAAATCGCGCACATACCAATACTCCTCATACCTCATACATATTACAAATACAACATGCATCACATATCACCACACACGTGTAAACCATATAAATCAGATCACATAAACCAAATAAATCAAATACACCACATACATTAAATACCTATCATACCTCATATATATCACTTATACAAACACCTCATAACTCTAATACATCACATACTTCGTATATATTACATATCTAACACATGTCACATACACCACATTTCTCATTAACGTCACACATATCCCACACACCACATACAACATATTCATCATTAACATTGTTAATGCCAGACTTTACAGATAACTTGCAGTAGCGTGTAAGGAACTCTGTTTACATGACACAAATAAATTTTGTCAAGCATGTCAGGATACAATATAGTAATCGCCTTGTCCGTCATTTTGTTATTGCATCCGTTGTCACGAAATTAATTGACTTTCATAAAAACAAATAACACCTCATTTACAATACTTTAGAAAAAGGTGATCATTTTTCTATAAAATACAAAATTACTTATAACTGCTAAAAAAATGACAATGCAATGATAATGCAATAGCCCGTGTTTTTTAAAGATGTTTTCGTAATGACTCAATGACTCCGAGAGGCGTAGCTGCTATTTAGCCATGTAGGCCCGAACCAAAGAAATTGACATTTTCAAAAGTCCCAAAAATACAATAAAACAAGCGGAGGTGGGGTAGGTATTGTGTTCAAACCGTATTGTTGAATCATTTGTGTTTTAGGCTTATGCATTATTAATCGTCTGCAGTAATTTTGTCTGTTTGTTGGTTTCATTTTACGCATTTTCCCATCAATAGTTCAGTCATATAGGCGGGTAGTTTCCTAACCATCGTTCCTGGAAAGTTACGCCAGTACTCAACTACCTTTCATCGCGCTAAACTACCAAAGCATCTCCCTTGGATCGAACCACGCCATCCTCAGTAGTATTTAAATGTAATCAAATTCATAGAATTTCTAGTTGAAAATTATTGTTTTGATATGCTTATCTTTAAAACTTTATGTAACGCGCAGTTTTCAGTTTTTAATCTAGACTTGTTTTTGGCTATTATGGGCCTTTAAGCTGGAAAAAGCTTGATACGCCCCTGATGAGTTTTCGTACTGTTACATGTAAAAACATTGACACAGGTCAGTATTTTAACGGGAAAAGGCCCCTTTCTCATAAAATCTAATATCCCCCTGCTGTTTCCAGAGAAAACCCCCAATGGAGTATTATGGTGCTTCTATAGGAAATTCAACAGACACAGTCAAAAATATGAAAAAATCCTTCATTAGATTTTTAATGATTAAGAAAAAAATTTAAGCATACCATATGCGGACAAAGATGAATTCACTAAAACGAACACATACATGTATTTGCTTTTAGAAATACCTGTGAAAAATGAGGGAAGTTATTGTGATAACCGTTTGTCCGTCGTCTTACAAAGTGTGTGCACTCCAGTTAACGCACTGTGCATGTATATGTATACGATTTAACTCACATTTTCAGCAGAATGGTCTCCAAACTATGATAATTACAAGGTTTATTCTCTAGCATCAATATTACCAGAAAAGTGTCCTTTTTTCTAACGAGATGTCTTCTGAAACCAATAACCGACTGTATATATACTAAACTTTACAAGATTTTTTTTGTGATCTCCTATCAAAGTTGCTCACATGGGTCATGATGTTTAGAAAAGAAAATTGCAAATACGTTCTTCCCTGAAATATATATTTCATATTTGGTATTTACCTTTATCTAGATGTCTTCTACTAAAACTATGCAGAGTATTAGGGGCCATAGATGTTCGATACATAGATATATAGTGAATTCTAAAACAATCTTTTTTCTAAAACTACACTGGCTTTAAATTACATATTTGTTTGCAAAAATTTCCAGTAGATTTCTCCCAACATTGTCCAAAATATGTTCATGAAACTTGACACAGCTTCGGAGGTGGTGGATTTTACTTAAATTTACATAGAAATCACTTTTTAAAAAAAATCTCCTCTGACACTAGTAGGTTTCTTCCATGAATATTCAAATAATTTTTCAGCACAATTTGCCATATTCGAGCGGAATCCAGCAGAAATCTTCCACGAGTATTCAAAATATTCATCCTTATTTACCCTTGAGTCAGATTTTTTGCCCTGCTTGGGTGGTGTGTTACATGTATTTTCTGTGTTTATTTATAATAAAGCATTTAGTAATATACCTAGTAGTAGAAACTCTTACCAGTACATTTAAAGGAATATAGGAAAGCGAAATATAGTTATGGTTATTCGATATGACAAAATATTGAATTAATTTCGTGTATCTTAATTATCAAGTTTTCATTTAAGAGACTCTTTCTTTTTTTGAAAGCTTAAATGATTAGATATCTTGCCAATCAACATAAAAGAAACACACTGCCAGAAGACAGGACAACGAGTTTAATCATAATTGACCTTGTTCTATACCAGTATGGTTTATACGAGAGTGTAATGTTTTTGTTCTACTATACGAAATGTGTGGGATGCTGTCCTACTCACCTTGTGGTCAGCGTTTGCGTCCTCGTTCAGATTTCTGATTAAAGTGTTTGTGCGGTTAAATATTTTACTATCACTTATTTCTTATTTTTTTTAAATAATAAGTTATCAACTTCACACTAAGATAAATGTTTCTCATCATCAACCACATTTTATGTGACAAGGATCATAACTCTAGGCGCAATATTTTCAGTAAAATCCCCCATTGAACTTATAATTTTCCTTGACATGTTATGTTTACTTCTTTTCATAAGGTATCTATTTCAAACTTTAAATATATATCTCTTATCATCATCAACATCATATGTTACAAGGTTCTTAACTCAATCACTAAAACCTCAAGAATTATCTCCCATTGAACTTTAAATTTCCTTTCATAAATATTATTTTGTAACTATAACTTCTTTATTTCAAACGGGATTTACTTAAAACTTCACATATATGCTTTTTATCATCATCCATTACATGTGACAGAGTTCACACATCTAGCATAAATATTTTGAGGAATATATCCCTTAAACATTAAAGAATTTTCCTTTAAAAATGTTATTTTTACTCTTACTTCATTATCTAATTATTTCATTGAATATTTACTATAAACAATAAGTGTCAGTTTGATATAATTTCACGTATCATAATAATGCTACAAGGTTTATTACTCTAGCGTCAATATCACCAGAATTATCTCTCCATAAACCTAGAATTTTCTCTATTTTTCTGTAACTTAATATTTCTTCAGGGATTTAATTCGAATTTCAAAAATATCTCTGTTATCATGTTCTACATCATATGTAATTAGATTTCTAAGTCTAGCTCCTGTATTTCTAGAATTATCTCCATTTTGAAAATTGTAATATATTTTTATAACAATTATATTTGTTATATGAATGGTATCTACTTTGGACTTAAGATCATTGTTACATCAACAAGGTTCATAACCCTAGCATCTAAATTTTAAGAGTAATTTCCTCTTTGTAATTATAATTACAATTTAAAACCTTACATACTTTTGGTCCATTTTAATTACTGAAGGGATTGACTTTAGATTTCAAATTGTCGTATTTTCCCATTGGACATTTCTGATTAATTCTTATTGACATAACACATGCATATTATGTGGTGCAGAAATATTGAATAGTACAGAAATATTTTATATCATAATTGATTATTAATAGTACTGCCTTCCTTTACTGCGTCCAATATTAAATAAGTCGAGCGTGTTGTCTCCTCTGACAACTCTTGCTATTTTACATGACTTGGCATGAATATTCCATATGATTTAGGTATAAACCAATGATTTGTGTACAAAATTTCGGATCATTCGCTCTTTACGTTATTCAAAAATATTTTTTATTTGTGAAAAAAATGACCCCAAATCAGAAAGCTTTGCAATACTTTTCACTCAACCCGGGCTTAGAATACAAACAAAGTTATCTCCTGCATATTTTGTTTTTGTCCCTCGGCTGATCTATCTTAGGAATTTAACATTATGTTTACAGACTTCTGGGCCTCAGCGGAGTCCCCTTAATACTTTTATTTGAATAATAATAGTTAACTGAATAAATAATAACATATTTAATTTGACATCCTTGTTATCCTTGCCATTTAGCGGTCATACAACCAACTTGTGATCACATCTTTGGCGTAAACATCGGGGCAAGGTTAGATATTTGTCAATACGCCAGTGTCTGTACAATAAAGCTTAACAATAAACAGGAATTCATGAAGTTGAAATCGTGCATTCGTGAAGCTGAAATCGAGAATTCATGAAGCTGGAATCGGGAATTCATGAAGTTGAAATGTCCCCACCGGTCTTTCATACATAAATATTGGCGACACCGGTGAGCGGCGTCGTCTCTTATGGAAAGCTTTTTATTTTGGCCTATGGAATGAGCTGTTATTATTAGCAGTTAATATCATGTTGTGTTAATTAGTTTTATTTTGATTCGTACAAATCAAGTAAACAAATATTTTTTTTATATTTGCATTTAATAACTTTAAAAAGCAAGTGCATTGTGATTTTATTTTCACGAAATTGCTGGCTCAGTTTAACAGCTGATCCCATATCTTTGTTGGCAATACTAAAACCCGGATTTCAAATAACGTTGTGGTTTACATTTATGCCGTATTCTTTTTCATTCATTTTTATATTTTCAAAAAAATCCTAGAAGAAGAACGGTTTTCTGCAAATGAGTATTAGGATTGGTAATGGAACTGTTGTAAACGATTAACCTATTGATTTTATCCATATAACGTTTATCTATTGCACATAATGATTGGTTTTACAAAGTTTACTAGTATCCAGATTAACAAAGCTATCCGATTTTCTGTAATTACTGTTGTCACATGGCCATCTAATTTCTTTATGAATACTTTACCATTACTTTACATGGGTTAATAAAACTGAGCCAG